TGTCATGTCCTATTGTCGCCGTATTGGGAGCATGACCTCTTTCCCATTTAGCTGCCATTTCAAAATAATATAACTTGCCAGGGGACAGGCATGACTCAGGAGGCTGGTAATAGGATATAAAGACTTTGACCTGCGGGTTGCCCATTTGAATGCTGCCAAGGTCAGCAGCAAGGGAAAAGATGTCATTTGTACGATGATTATTTGGCCAAAAGACCTAATACAGACGTAACTGGGCCCCTTCGTGGCAGCCAGTGGTGGCTGAGGACTGGGTTGCACTCTGCTCCCACTTTGAGAGCATCCCAGGACCCCGACCCCTCCCTGCCTGGGTTTTAGGACCGGGTGAGTGCCCATGGTCCCCCTCCAGCTTACGATTTTGCCCTCCACGATCTTCCCTTGCCATCATTGCAGAGACATGGTCTGGACAGACTGGGAACCCTCTTACTTCTGTCCTCACAGGGGCAAAGTGCCACAGCAGCATCTCCCCTCTGTGCCCCTCCCATTTGTTTTCCAGTGCGGAGAAAGGTTTCGCAGGACAGGCGTGCCATGGCACCCTGCTCGCCCTGTCCCCTTCTCTGCTCACCACCATCAACTGCCATGATTTAGGTCCCTGCTAACCTCGTCCCCATCCACAGCCACCACTGACCATGTAAATTTATCTTCTCAGTAGCAAACCATGTCCTCGAGTCAGTTTGATTCCATGATTAATTAAGCTCTCCCTAGAAATTAGGTTACTGCCTTCAGTCTCACTTATAAATATTAGCAGATTAATGGGTCCTGACCATGTTAGATGGCCACTACTAGGCTGGGCCGTGGAGGGTTTGCCTGCTCTCATCCAGACAGTCCTCGAATACGGGCTTGCCATAGGAGAACTTCTGAACAGACCCAGCGTATCTGCAAACCACTGTGGTTTTTTTTTCCTTCCTTGACTGTTATTTTTAATCCAAGCCAATAACCCCCAAATGCGTGCTGGCTACCTGGCACGCCCCAGCCTGGCTGCTGGCATCCTTGGCAAAGGCACCAGATCCTGGAGATGGGCTGGAGAAAGCGGGAACGCATCACCCACGTGGTGTCAGGCCACTAAACGTGCAGGAGCTGCTGGCGGAGGGACGGGAGATGCTTTGAAATATCACCCAGCAATGCCCTTGGCTTCCCGGGGAGCGGAGCAGCCTCCAGCTGTGCTGAGGGGGCGAAGTAACAGGCACAAGGTTTGCTGTGCTTCACATCTGCAAAATCTGTCAAGGAAGGGACCAAAAGGACCAAAAAACCTCTGAATATTATTATAGTTATTGTTGCTATTGTTGTTGTTGTTGTTATTATTTTACAAAGTGGAAAAACTTTTCTTGCAAGTCCAAAACCTCCAAGGAAAAAGCAACATGCCAGTGGCCTAAGGAAGCGTTTCGCTTTTCTACAGCAACTTCTGTCTGACAATAGCAAAACTCCCTGCAAAGCAGGTGGGCCGGACGGAGGTGCCCCAGGCAGGGCAGGCGGCCCTGGGAGCTTTAGAGCTGTGGCATCCTCTGAGGGCGGGCAGAAAAGCGCTGGTGGTCTCACCCGTGACAGGCATCGGCACAAAGCACCGGTGCCCTGGAGGAAACCCTGTGCCTCGGTGTGTGCAGCAGGAAAATGGGTATAATCCTATTTACCTGCCTCCTCTGGAGCTGGCTGTGGTGGTTGATTCATGTCAGGAGCTTCGCTGGTGACTCCTGGATGAATGACACTATATAAATGCAAAGTGTTGTTAATATTTCATGTTGTAGTGAAAATGTACTAATGGGGCTTGTTCCTGGAAGATGAAGTGCTGCCATTAATACACCTCCGTGTCCCCAGCACCGTGGAATCGCACAGGCTGGCTGGTTTCGGCTGGTGGAGGGTGCAGCTTTCGGCACCCCCCTTCTGCCTCTGGCAAACTGAAATCTCCAGCAAATTTAAGCGGTGGGACGGCACCTCTGGCTGCAGGAGCTCGGTGCCCGCCAGCCCAAGGGCGGAGGATGGACCAAGAGCGGCCGCGCTGCTACCTGCCGTGGCTCTCGCTGGCTGGTGTCAGCCCTGTCCGCTGCTTGGGAGGGGGAGGCGGCAGCAGAGCAGCTCCTGCCTCTTGCTTCACCTCACTCTGTTTTTCTCTCTCCCTGTTTATTTGTTTTGTGCCTCCACCAGGTATTTGCCAGGCAGATGGGGGTTGACCTCCACTTCGGCTCGGCCGGACAGTCCTAACCGGCGGGACAGGGAGGAAAGCTGCGTGGCTGCTCACCTTCTCATCCTGCCGTCAAAGCAGGGCAGGGGGACGAGGGGGGTCATGGTGGCCGTGCCCACACTCCCAGGAGGGCCGCTGGGTGCTGTGGAGGGGCGGAGGTGTGCTCTGCCTGGAGCCTAACGCCGGCAGAAACTGCCCATCACGTCTGGCAGCTCCCCAAAAGAGGGGATTTTAACCCAGAGAGCAGCAAGCTACGAGAGCCCCTTCGGACATCCAGGCCTGGGG